ATCCTCCTTTATTTCATATGACGGAAGGTGGACGTGGCTATCGAAGAGATCCAAGTAGTATTCGTGAACGATTTTCTCCATTGCCTTTCTGGATGCTGTAACTGTTCCGTCTGGGCGCTGGAGTACAATCGTTTTGGTCTTGTAATCGGCGAAGCCTAGATGAGTTTTGCGAATGCTTTTCCCACTTCTGCAACTTCGACGACCATTACTGCTGCTCTTCTCTCTTTAAAATCCTGTTTTATCGCCTGTCTGCATTGTTTTGCAAGTTCAAACATTAGTTCGCGGTTGCCTGCAGTTCGTGCGATTCCACGCTGGCGTATAGCTCGAGTGTTTCTTGAGAGAGAAGTCTCTTGGTGACTTTCGAACTCTCAGCTTTCATAGCGCTAACGTGAAGATGTTTAATGAGCCGATCGTATTCTTCGTCGATGTTAACGACAACGGCATCTTCCCAACAACCGGCTAGCGAGTGCCAGGTTATGGTGCCTCTGGGACTTCGTTTTTTGAATTTAGCGGCTTTTTCTCCTTTCCGCCAGAAACAAAATCTTGCACGAAGGAGGCGATGATCTGATCCAGTGTAGAATTTTGCGACAACAGCGACATCGGTTAGACAAAACCTTCTATTTACTATGACGCGGTCTGTTTCGTTATGGTGCTATCCATTGGGAGACTTCCAGGTCCAGCGTTGAGTGTCGGTCTTCTGCAATTGCGAGTTCCCATGGATGGTCTTGGTCGTGATGATAAACTCTGACAACCGCTCACCCTATTCATTTCATTCCAATCCGTGGGTCGCAATGTGGCGTTTTTCAGACGTTCTTCTTGGTCCAATCTTGGCGTTGAAATCTCCAATGACGACCTTGAAGAATGCGTGATCTTCTCTGTAGAACTTCTCCAAGTCCATATAGAACGCTTCGACTTTTTCTTCGTCATAGTTTGATGTCGGCGTATAAACAACGAAGATTGTCAAAGCCGGAATTGATCCACGTCTTTTTAATCGTAAGCGTCGGATTTAGGTTGTAAGTTGTTCGAATGGATGGATGTTAATGGACAAACTCGTGTTGACGAGAACGCCGACGCTGCCGACTCCTCTACTGTGGCATGTTCCGAGGAACAGTTCTTCTCCGGTGTCACAGACGGCGTTTAAACACTGGCGTCTTCTCGTCTCGTCCAGGCCGATGGCGTCGTACTTTATCCTTCTTGCTTGCACGAGCAAGTCTTCTATTGAGGACTCGGATGCACGTTTACGTGCATTGTAGCTACAGATCGTCACCTTAGTTCTTTGTAATCCAGGTAGCTTCCATTGGCCTTGTGATTTTAGCAGCCTTTCCGTACTCGTCCTATCCCAACGCTGCGAAATTGGTGCTCTTTCGGGATCAGGGGAATGAGGTCCGTTTTTTTTAGTGTGTTTAGCATTTTTATGCCCACGTATAGCTTGCTGGGCTCTGAACGTGTGGACTAGGCATGCTCACGAATGGCTTGCCGGGCTCTCTCAGAGTGGTCATGGAGCTTATTTGTTGGAGGCGACTCCTAACCGCCTCCTATATACTTCCCTGTCACTTGATTGCAGGCTTTTGGCCGAATTGACTCGTCGAATACAATCCGCATGAACTATAGCGTACCTACACACGCGTGCATGAATACGCCTAGCAAAAGTACAGAAAGCATGTGCCAAATCGGCGCAGCAGAAGCACGAGTCCATTTCCTAGGTCCATCTGCATCTCAAGGAAGCAGAGATCGCTTTTGGTCCGCGATTAAGCCCCTATTCGCCACATGGGGACGCTCCTCGTATCCTTGCCACTAACCGGCTATCGTGCTTTCTCATATAAGCGAGATCCGTGGATGGATAAGAATTTCATACAATCGATTTATTCGTAGTTCTCGAAATGTTCTTGCTGTGTGAACGGTTTTTTATCTTTTTAGTTACTGCCTATTAAACTTTTCCACGGCAGGGTATTATGTGTGATACAACCGTAATGGTGCTGGGTATTTGCGAAACTCGGGAAATGTCTGTGGTGAGAAGCGGACGCGCTACTGCCCTCTCCGAGGGTGAACGCATCCGCCACCACATCATGCGGGTCTTTTAGTTTTTCTTGTCTAAATCAGTGTTTTTTCTATTGCTATTGAGTATATCTGAAACTATCTGTTCTCACTAGCGAATATCTCACGTTTCAAATGTTTTCTAGAGTACTTATAAGCTACGATACGTATATTAATACAGATCTGTCGAAGGTGGAGAGTAGTGACTACGCGTCTGATAACACATCAGAGTATCGTGAGAGCGAATCGGAATCGGCGAACGAAGGCCAACCACAGTTGAACACGACGACGCCGTGTTCGTTCACTAACATCAACGACCATCTGGAGGTGGTCGAGGACAGAGTACTACCTTATTCACTTATTTTTCAATTCTATCAATTAATTTTCATTCTAAATAGGAAGCTGATTTTTGGACTATAATCTGCTTCAAATGATTATGAATTACAGTAATTGGCAATCAGCGCACAATTTCAAATAATACTCAACAATATTTGTCCTTTTATTTGGCAATTTATACGTTGAGCTGAATAACTGGATTAATGCTATCAGTATACGACTTACGACCTCAATGCTTTTTTTGTAAACAGCATTATAAAGAACTATTACTGGACACAGAATCGGCTTGCTTAATCCATCATTGATCGGGTTGTGAACCAATTACAGGAATCGCTGCCTTCTTTTTCTGGAAAAATCCGAGTCAAGAAGCAGGAAACCCTACTATAACAATTAAAGACTGACGATTATTGCAGTGAAGTTTCATGGTGGGCCAGAATTCAAGACGTCATTGAGAGGGGAAGTTGACAGGTTATAAGGTAGCAACAGAAACCATAATCGAATCTAGCTATCTCTGTAGATCATAATGGTTGAAAAGAGAAGAAATGAATGGACCAAATGTTAGGACCATACCGACATCTGAGACTCTGTTGGGGTTGGATTACCGCTGTGGTTTCAGTTTAACACTCCGAAACAGTTATTTATCGCGTGAAAGGGTAAATAGTTGAGTGAAAAACTTAGATTCTAGAAATTTTTTCACTGGGCTTGAGGATAACGGCAATCATCGAGTTAACGAAGTACTTGGCGACGCCTCTGTTAATTAATCTTTTAGTGCCAGCATTTCCTACTATTTATTTCATGTGGCAAGGATAAGGGCGCATGTGGCGCAGTAGCCGAAGGCATTCTGAGACATATATGGGGTCGATCCCTGCGCACGTGGCTCACGAACCCAACTATCTCTCTGGGACCGGTAACTCAGTAAAAAACTTGTCTGGGAGGGTATCAGCACTGGTTCGATACCTTGGTAGACCACCGCGATTCATTGTAAAGGCCAGATATGCATTCATTCACCTCCAGACGATGTTTAATGAGGCCGAATGCATGGCGCATCCTTCAGGGATTTATCGACGCAGAGAGCTTTATCCTTTATCCTTTAGGTGCCAAGAATACTGGTTGGAATGTGACATATAAGGTGGCTTTCACTTAGGATTTGTTGATGTGCTAAATTTTCTCGAAACCTCAAACACGGGTAAATAAACTCTCCTACATATATGTACCAACAATGAGCCAATAACTAGGTCGATATATGCAGAGGTAACCTAAAGCGTAAAGATTAGTACCAATAATGTGAGGACATAGCTTCTATAATGGATTGATTAATTAGGATGAGGAAAGGATAAAATGTCATACCAGCAGCTGAATTGAGGACAGTCAAAGATATGTAGACGCTCAAAAGGCGAAAAAAAGTAGGGTCACAACTGAGTGACATTCCTCGTGTATTGTTTTTAAGCGGGAAAATCTTGCCAAATTTCTGTAATCGTATATCGGTCGGTATCTCAAACAGCATGTAAAATTCAGGGCTGAAAACGAAGAGACTAATGGTGATTGACGGGTACCATGCCATGTAAGCAATAAAACCTACCCCGCTGTGCTATCTAAATTACACAAACGAAACGATTTTTTACTAGTTTGGAGATCATAGACTTTATATATTGGATAAAGGATTTCTAAGGTAGAATGAGTGGATAGACAATATTCTTTATGGCTTACTTAATTGAAAAATATCGGAGAAATATCGAGTTGGGTCAGCTGTATTCTATGTCGAATAACTTTAAAAACTGCTAATAAAGAATATTCGTCATGGGGCGCGTGTGGCGTAGTAGTCGGAGGCACCCTGCAACACACACGTGGAATTGATCCCTGCGCCCGTGGCCTACCAAGTCTTACATCCCTCCGGGGTCGGCAAATTGGTGCCAGACTTGTTTGGGAGGATAGCAGCACTGGCTCGATACATCGGCAGGCAATCACGAGTCATTGTAAAGGCCAAATAGGCATTCGGTCACCTCCAACGATACTTAATGAAGCCAAATACATGGTGCATCCCTAAGGAGTTGACCAACGCTGACAGCTTTATCCTTTATTTTTTATTTGTTTGTTATGGGGTATTTAGGAAACCTAGTAAGGCGGCAATTTTATGGCTCTACTATTTCTTTTTCAAAGGCATGTTTATTGTTTGCAGTTCTATATTGTTTTTGTAACATACTTGTTACACTCGTTGAATCCATACGGCTGAACTTCTTGAAATTCGAAATGGTGTTCAATTCGTTAAATAATTTTAGGTCACCAATTTGGAAACAGAGAAGTCAGTGGCTGTAACAAGTCCTACACAACCAAAAATTGAATACTGTAAGATGCTACCGCCAAAACAAAAGCCGTTCGTTTTGCGAGTAAGTTGTAAAATTTCGTTTGAACTAATAAAGCGAAGATTTTTTTTATGACCCATCCTCACACATTGTGCGAAACCTTAGTATTTTATTTATGAGGTCACCTATATCACTTATATCACCTGTAGTCCTGTTGATCGTCGAATGACTCGGTAGCGCGCGCCAGTAAATCTTCCATTTTTCCCTGTCGCGTGCAAGAGAAGCCCAGTGGGTTCTGCTCGCTCTAGGGACTTATCGAGCATTTATTAGGTCATTGTCTTGAATCTATCATACGTGAATGTCTTTGGATTTGAGCATCAGTTCGGCTGCCAATAGAGGATTTCTACTTTTCACTGAATGGTGGGTTATTGTAATTCTCCCTGGAAATCCCACTGAGGCGTTCCGTGGTATTCACAACAGCAGCCACAAAATCTGGTGGACCGGACTCAGGTTTTTCCATGCAATTTTGACATCAATTTATCTACTACAGAAGAATCTGGGGATTGGTTAGCCCAGTCGAAGGTCAAATCAGCCATAGTGTAAATGCAGGGTATATCTAGCAGCTGAGCTCCCTGTAGAATAAAATCAAAAACTCGTATATAATGCTGAGATATTCGCAAGTCCGGACCGCAGGTGTATGCGGTGAGGAACGAACGCGCGCTATTGTCCTTACCGGGTGATTGGTGATGGCAAAAGATCAATAGAACTAGCTGAGAGACAGGCAAAACGAAGGACCTGGATGGTGTGGTGGTGGAGTGCGCTACTCCCCGATAAGGACAATAGTGCGTGTTCGTTCCTCACCGCATATACCTGCGGTCCGAAGTTTTGCAAATATCTCAGCATTATATACGAGTTATATTTCCCAATATACCCTGCCATTAAAGGAAAAGAAAAAGGCAGTAAATAAAAGGGTTAGAATCAGAAACGTTTACGCATCATACACATAAGCAATGAGACAATAATGAAATTAATACACAGAGGTGATTCCCAAGAACGACTTTCTATTAAGTAGGCATTGATTAGTCATTCACTGTTCTCTTGATATGCAAAGCTTCAGCACACAGTGGTAATTTCAAAGAGTGATTACTTATGCAATAAGAGGAACCAGCCCTAGTGATGGATTGGACTAAGTTAAAAGAAGAACAGGCACCTTACAATGCAGATACTGTCTGATTGAAAGAATCTGCGAAGAAGAGTGCCTTAAAAGGTCGTCATACATGGAGTGATTTTGTTTGAAGTGACTGCGCAATGGTGCTGCAAATTATCAGCTCCGAAGAGGGGTTAGTTAGCCAGGTGGTGATAAAGCTGGCGACCACAAGGTTCTTTCGCCAACCTATTAACCATTACGCTACACCCTTTCTTGGCAAAAAGTGGATATGTTAAATTGTGTTGGCTGTGAAGAAAAACTTATTTTTGGAATTTCTGCAAGGCTAGTTGAATCGACAGAATAATTAATGGTGCACAAGTGGCTGTGCGTTACAGAATACATCGCTGTTTTATTATTATTACTGTTATAATAGTAATACTTACTTACTTCGATAGGTGAATGGCCCATCTTCACTGGTTGTGCGGGCCTGGCACGATCTCCATTTTTCGGAGATTTTCTGGTTAAGCTATTGTGGTTCCCTGGAATCGCGAGGTCGGCCTAGCCAAAGTCTTCCCCAGGTCGTCACCACCACAGGCAGTCACTGAGCTTGTGAATCAGAGGGAGATTTACCACCGTGCGACTAGTTCGATACCAGGACGGTGGTGGATCCCGATATTGGTTTACTTGACTAGGTTTCTTAATGAAAACAGCGGATTCCTTCGCAGTTTGAAAGACCCTATTGAAGGGATGAATCCTCTGGTTGAACATCGTAGTCCAACACCCAGGAACACCTCTCAGCCACGATGTGGTGGTAAAGTGTTAGAAGAATAATAATAACAATAGTTGTTATTATTTCTATGATTATTATTCTATATTACACTTTACTGCTATTTTGTAATCAATAAACGCCACCACCTGTTGAAGAAAGAGTTTTTTCAAAAATCGCAAATTTTACAAGTTACAATGGAAACTATTAATGGGAGAAGATTATCGAATATAATAGGCCACTTTGTATTTACATTAAGAAGAAAATTTTCCATTCTAAGGAAGCTCGAAGTCATTGGGTATGAGGCATACTAAGGTTCGTGTGTGATTTGGTGTTGGAAAATATAGTTATTCATCGATACCATACTATTCGTACTGTTCATTCAGGTATACACCTGAACTAATATGGTTTTGTAGAGATATTAACTTTCTTTTTCCTATGTAATAAAAAGATATCAAATCGTTTTCTTTTGGTCAAATTATAAAAAATCACAGAAATGTTGCTACGGGTGAGGAGAGCATCCTGAAGCAATCATCGTCATTGTCGTATAACAAAGTTAGCTATCGAATATATAAGGTAAACCATGCGTATTTTAAGTACTTGGAATGAATCAGATAAATCGAAGAAATGCTCATAGTTTAAAGCGGTTTCTTGAGTTGAAAAACGGAGTAGTTAATGTAATAGAAAATTATAGTACTCAAGGCAAAATATTTCAGATATTCAGCATTAAATAAACTGTTAAACAATGGGCGTGTGTTGTGTAGTGGTTAAAGGTCCTATGCATTGCACACAGAACCGGCAGTTCGATCCCGCGCTAGGGGCTCCCGAGCGTCTCAAAGCTCCTGTGTTGGCAAATCGGTAGGAGACTTGT